CAGTGGTCTCTCTTACTGACCTCAGACTTTAAAGCAGGAGACACAGTCAACTCCCCAAACTCCAGGCAGCAGGGATGGGGGCACACATCCTAACTATTATACCTATAGATCCCCTAAATCTATCCAGGGGGTTATGGGATCTCTCCTAAGCCTTGGCACATGGGGATATAGGAGCAGAGCAGACACTCAACCCTGACAGTCAACTTCCTTGTTCCATTCCATATCAATTCTTCTCACCACCTTGGACTACTTTTAGCTCCATTCCAACTGTACCTATCCTTCAAGTCTATTGTGTATGATATCAATCTTAAGTACTAAAAATATCCAGGCTCGAACAACTCGAAAGTCTTTCCTCAGAGCTATCGTGTGGGGCCATCAGAAGTCATTTTGATCTTCACTGGAAGTCAAAAGGCCTTATTTCTTTGTCTGAGCAGAAGCATATGCTACCCCCAGAATAGTGGGACAAAGAATTGGGGTAAAACAAATGGCTAGAGGAAAACACACCAGTTAATATCAGATTTTTACCAAGTTACATGTGTTTGGTGTGATATTGGAGTAGCTTTATGCCTTCCATGCAAGATGGGCAATCACATACTCAGGGCATTCCGGACTATTGCTTGATAATGTTGGCAATGGTTGATAGCTAGCTAGGTAAGAATACCACTTCAGAGGGGTTGGGGGAAAGACATTGCCCTGGAAAGAGGGCTGTGGTAAGGAAAGCTTTCTGTGGTGGATCTATTTCATTCATTTCCCTAACAGAGGTCATCTCTCTTCATGGAGGTGGTTCAGTCACAACACGACCTAGAGGAAGGGTCAAGAAGCCCAGTATGAACTTTATTGCTCTTCATCTCTTCATCCTTAGAGCCCAATTAGGAATATTTCACAACAAACACTTCTCTGTTTGTGGATCCATGAAGGGAATCTGTTAAACTTATAAAACAGTTTAAACCAAACCACCACAGACTTGCTTTGTATTTCTGAGGTATCTTAATTTAATGTAAAAAAAAAGAAAGGTTAAAGAACAAAATCCATCCAAGATAGCACACATCAAAAGCTTTAGGAGCTATAAATACAGGAGAGGGAATTTGGGTTTGTTTCAGTAAAGGCCTAATAGGCAGGAAGGCCCTCTCAGCCACCCCCAGTCACTTTTTTTTCCCCGTTGGAAATGCTGTTGCCTCATCGCCAGGCCCCTGAGCATTACAGAAGCACGGAGGCCATCTTCTTGGAGGTAGTATGTGCGCTCATGCGCATGTTTCTCTGTGCTAGGAGCTGGGGGGTGGAATGGAGGGCTGCATGAGAGTCTGAGAGAGCAGACAAAGGCGAGAACTAGCCCCTCCCTCGCATCTCCTCTCCTTTCTTCTTTCTGTGATGTTTGTTCAAGGGGGTTAAGAGAAGAAAAAAAAAAAGAACACACTACCTCAGTGTTCCTCTCCACATACTTTTAATGAGCACTATTTTCACTTTTTATTTGCTGATCAATAAACCCCAGGGTAGGACCTGTCTGTTCCCAGAGATAAAGAACTGCGTGCATAGCTGGTCTTTATCCAGCTGAACAAGTGCTGCTTTCTCTTTGTTTTTCACAGTGTTTCTGAGAGATAAGAGGAAACCACCAGACATGATGCATGACTGGGAGGTTCTGAAATCGTGTATAAACTCACTCTCTATTCTGAGCTGTGGATTAGGGACGGAAAGAAAGGAAGAGGGCACCACATATAACCTGAGTTTGTTATTTCCTCTAGGTTAAAAACAAGCAGTTAAACACACACACACAAGCAGGAGAGGGAAATGTGGGGGGTGGGGGGTTGGGGGTGTGGGGAAGAACACATGAATAAATGTTCCAGTAAGGAAAAATGAAGCTGATTTTCAGTTATTGCACAGAAGTCAAATAAGGAGAATTTTAGTCATTCAAATGAGCACATCCCCCGCCCCCAAATTCAGTGACCATTTCCTACCCCAAAAAACTGCCTCTGTCATATGAATTCAATACCAAGATGAGCAGATGGGACCTAATTTTAGTCAAAGTGCCAGATAGATTCCCCGAAAAATAAGAGATGGGACCAGGTCAGTGTCCCATTAAGCTCATGTCCTGTAAGGCTCTTAGCACATCTCTGAGAGCTCCGGGATGAAGGAGTTGATAAGAGATTGATAACACAAGGTATTAACTAGTAGAGTAAGAGTAAATGTAAGATCAATGGGTACCGATAGATGCAGAAAGAGTTCGATGCTTCTAATAGCATATGAAAAAATGTGGTAGCAACTTATATAAATGCAGAGCAGCAAATCATTTAGGAAAATTTGCCACTCAGCAAAGGAAAGGTCTGAGGCTGAGCCCTGAAATCATGAGAATGTGTGGACAAATGGGATCTTTGAAAATTGTAGGCTGAAAGGAGGAATAAACCCAGGAGACAAAGACAGGTCACTAAAAAGTAGAATTTAAGACAAAACCCACAATACAATTGTTTCTGAGCAACCAGACCGAAAACAAGGAGACAGTGAGGCTGGGTCACGCTTCACCGTCTTGTGTTATTCTCTTGGTGTTACTGTTTGTTTCCACGCCTAGGCTCATGAACTTGAAATGCTCTGCTGTAGACTTTTGTCTTTGTCTCAGCTCCAGCACTGGATAATAAGGTCCCTCTAGGGAAAAAATGTGTCCCAGGCTTTCTAGAATGTCCCTCACAATACCTACCTTAGGCCCTGGCTGGAATAATAGCTCAATAAATGTTAATGGACAGGATTAATTAAAGAACAACTTCCTCTTTGTGTAATTATTCTTCCAAATGTTAGATTTCAAGAGGCCAAAACCTGGATTATATTTTACCTTTCTGATGCTGGGTAAATGAGAGGAGCAAATTATAAATTAACAAAGCGTTACTACTTTATTTCAAAGGGAATCAGTGATTTTAATGCCAACTATTAGGTTGGGAAATTAGATGTGTGAGTCTTCAAGAGACAGACTGAAGGCCAGTGGACTTTTCCTTGATCTCAGATTCATTCAGTCAGGCCAAGACTAAAAACCTTGGGTGATACTTTTTGTTTGTTTTGGTCACCGTGCCTGTGCAGTTCTTGAAGAGAGCACACACAGGCCCATCATAAAGCCCATCACTGCCCTGGTGCCCAGCAGCATGAGGCGCCAGAGATAAGTTAAACTAGAGATAAGCTGACAGCTGTAAATAATCCAGCAGGCCCTCCTGGCAGGAGAGACCCCTGCCCCTGGCAGTAAATCCCAGCACACCCCACCCCCTCAGGGCAGGAGAGCCCAGCAGCCCTCCACCCTCACAGGCCAAAAAACTCCGGCTGTAGCTTAACCCTATAAAGACCCGAGCTCCCATTTTGGGGTGCCACTCTTGGCCTGCAGAGAGTCGTCACCTCACGGACTTTCAATAAAGCCCACTTTTGTCTGATACTCTTGGCCTCCTCTCTTTTCTAACATTCTGGTGCCAAAACCTGGGATGAGGACACAGAGTTAGGCACCTGCCTGTACAGCCCCTCATCCTGCAGGCCTCCATTCTTTCCTTTCTCCTTCCTCCCCTATTCCGCTTCCCTCTTTTCACTTACAGGACCCAGGAACTCTCTTTTCTAACAGGTCTGTCTGTCTGGAAGTTTGGCTTCATGAGACAAAGGACTTATCTATTTTATGCACCGTCCTATGTCCAGCATCCAGAGCAGATTTTCCTGGCACATAGTAGGAGCTTAAGTAATCATTGTGGAAGGGAGGGAAGGAAGAAGGGGACAGGGAGTGGAGAGCTCTGCTTTTCACACCAATAAACTTGGCATGTGTTTACTCACTCTTTAGTGACCTAAGGTCCCCTCGGGTTCTGTGTTAGGAGCCAGAATGATGCCAGAATGATGAGATTCCAGTCTTTGTCATCAAATGATCCTCTATAATAGTAAAGAGAGAGGGACGTACACACCAGGTGGTAAGTGCCACAGCAGAGAGAGTTGCAGCAATATGGGGAGTGTGCCAAAGGGAGCATCTAATCTACCCTGAGGAAGAGTGCGAGGCACAAAAAACATCACAGACCTGAGCAGAATCCTAATAAACTCCATGATGTTTTGCAGGCTTGGAAACATTTGAATCTACATGGTTCTAAAGCTGACTGTGGAGAGAAAGATAAAATATGGCAGATTACCAGTCATTGCATGTCAGCGATTCCCTATTCAGTCACTTTGATGTTATAAATTATTTTGGCCTTAGTGTTTTATTGGACTTTTGCTTCCTGCATGGAATGCAAAGGGATACAGTGAGTCTGTCATGCAGCAGCTCATCATAGAATTGCGGTGTTAAAAGCACAGTTTAGGGCCTCCCTGGTGGTGCAAGGGGTTAAGCAACGCGCTATGAAGCAATCCTTAGCCTCTGCAGCACGAGTTCAATCCCCGGCCGGCCAGGGAGAAACCCACAAGGCGAGGCAGACCTCTCCTGTCTTGCCTGCTGCTCCCCTCAGCAGTGTACTTCAGTCAGTCTGCCTGTTCTGTTCCCCACTCTGTCTCTGGTGAATCCTCTCATCCCCCTCACCTCTGGCCTATACCCCAGCTCTTGTATGTATAAATAAATAAATCTTTTTTTTAAAAAAAAGCACAGTCTAAATGGTACGAATTGAAGATGCATTGTCTGGGCCTGAGCTGCACCAGGAGTAATGGCTTTGCTACGTACAATCAGTTAGGACCAGTCTTTGTTTTTTTTCTAAGCAATTTTTGGTTCCTGTGACAAGGATTAATGATATAAACAGCTATAAAGTGGTCTTTGCGTTTTATAAAAGCCTATAGCAGTAAAGATGTGTCTTTCTCTTCAAAACAGCAATTTTTCTGAAAAGGTTAGCTAAACTTCACAACAAAAAGAAAATCACTAGTAAAAGAAAAAAAATGTTGTGGTTGACTAAGCTTATTTCCATATAGGAAAAGATTCTGGGACTAGGCTGATGGACTGTTTAAGCCAGAAAATCCAGTGTCTGAGGAAAAAGAAATCCAGATTTTGACTTCTGCTTCTTGTTTTCCTTCCTCAGGTGCTGACCCCGGCACAGATCAAATCAATTTGCCAGGCTATTCTGGATTCTGGGAAGCAGTATGCCATGAAAAAGAGGAAACCATTCCCCCTGATGTATTCTTACTATGGAACCGAGTACTTGGGTGAGTGAAAACGCTGGCAAAGGCTTGTAGAATGAAGGGAGTCTCTCATAGCAGATGTTTTTGACATAGTGTTCCACTATCTATTTCACTGGAAATACTCTGAAATGCCATTTGAAAACAAATCTTGGTAGATATTACAAATCAAAATTTAATATTTGTGTTCATAATATACCTGACAGAATCATAGCTATTATAACAATTTTTTGCTATAGATATATATTTATTATCTTTGGAAATTGCTCCCTGGTTTATGACTACAACAACATGGTAGACTAACAAAACCCAAAAGCCTTCTCCTAGAGCCAGCTAGAAATTCTGCATGAAATATGTCTTTTCAGGATAGAATCAAGTTTACAAGAAGAAAATTTGTGCTCCACAATTTAAAAAAATTACTGAAAAACCAAAGCAATGAACATGTTCTCAGATACTTTTTGTTAGCAGTTACTTTCACTAAACACTAAACTCCTTATTCTCGATTGTGAATTCATTGGCCCAACTTTGCTGAAAGTTTGTGAACAGTTTTCACACTCATTGCAATTAAGTGATTCAGCCACTGACAGCTTAAGATTAATGGTAGTGAATTAATAACAGACTACTGAGTCACAATGGCTTTTTGAGAGATGAGGCACGTAAAGTGAAAATTAATTACTCCCATTGGAATCCTTCAGTGCCTGCCATCACTCGTGAATATGACTGGCAAGGCCTCTTAATAGTTTATCTGCCTCCTTCTCCAAATCTATCTCCAAGCTTTCTCTCCCCTTTGCTGGTTCTGTCCAGCATAGTCTCCTACCAGCAAAGTGTTCTCATATCTTTGTAACTTTTGTGCCTGTTCCTTTTGCTTAGAATGCCCAGCTTCCTCCAGCTCCCTTATTTATCTGAAATACTTAAACCCAGGCTTGAGACGACTCCAACAGCATCTTATCTATTGAAAAACTTTCTGTGCTTTTGAAGTTCTAGCCATTTACATAGATAGCACAAACTAGATTTCTAACTCATGTGTGCATGTTCTCCTGCAATGCAAGCTTTTCTCTAGCAATTTAAAATCCAATGCCAGAAAGGTACCTTCAGGATTCATGACCAAATTTTAAGGATAAAGTTTTTGACTGGAAACGATGGTAACACTGTTTCTGGGGAGTCCAAAGTTCGAGTACCTGAGGGTCATGATAAAGCTTTAACATTATAGAGTGGAGTTGAAAGAGCAAGCCCCCAGAATATACTGACTGCAGCACCACTTGCCAATCATCAGGATCCTACTAACTAGAAATGAGTGAAAACTGCTATGGGGGCTGGGTTGACTTTCACTTTCCTTATAGTTTGCTCCTCCAGGCAGGCTCAGGCCTGCACTCAGTGCCAGAAATTCTTCGAAACTCTGCTCAGGTGACACTACCTGTGTCACCTGAACTTTCAACACCCCTTTCATTCTGAGGCCAACTTCAGCTCTCATAGAGCATTTATCTATCACCTCATGTTCTAATGATTTATATGCAACTCTGACTTTCTCATCAGATTGAATGGGGAGGTCTTTAAGGTTATGAACCTTCATTTGTGTATCCCCAAAGCTTAGACAATACCCAGTATACAGTACTAAAGATGAAGGATTAAGTAAATTATCACCAAATACTAGTGTTTAACTTTACAGAAGAAGGCACTTAGTCTCTTTTGTTCACTTGTCTATCCTTACTACCTAGAATAGCATCTGGCACACAATGGGTTCTTAAATTTTATGTGTTGAATGAATGAATATATGCTTGGGATACTTAGAGCAAGTTATTTTTTAGCAGTTTAGGAGCATTTTCATAAATGTTGCTATGTTGATTACATTTAAAATATCTCTAAGATGGGTTGGTCACTAAACATTTTTCTGTAAAGGGACATATAGAAGATATTTCAAGCTCTGTAGGCCATATGGTCTCTGCCACGGTAGCACAAAAGTAGTCATAGATAATATGCAAATGAATGCGCATATCTGTGTTCCAATAAAGTTTTATTTACAAAAACAGATGATAAGCCACAGGAGTGTATGTGCCCCAGAAGTCTCATTCTTTGGCAGCTCAATTGTTACATTACTGTGTGTGTTTTCAAGTAATAGTGCTATTGTGTTTTTATCCTATTCAATCAAACTAGCTCTCAATTGTGTGAATTGTTATGCTTTTTTTTTGTCAATATAGGAGCAGCTCATGGTCTGTCATCCATTCTCCAAATGCTTCTTTCTTACCATGAGCACCTCAAGCCTTCAGATCAGGAACTGGTGTGGCAGAGTGTGGACTTCCTCATGGAACAGGAACAGAACTCCAACTGGCCACCTGAGTTGGGCGAGGCGATCGAGCGAGAGAACGAGCTGGTGCACTGGTGCCACGGTGCCCCAGGTCTCACAAACACTGTTACTGAAAGCATTGCTTTTCCTCGGGCTTAGCCAAAGGGAGATGCCTTTTCCAATAACGGAGGATATTTCTTATCTCATTACTAGATGAGATCAAAGGATCAAGATGGAATTTTTCAAAGCCAAAATGTCTTAATCTTTACAGGACCTCCAGAAATGACCCTATACCTTTTAAATTATATGATCTATATATAGTTACGTATAACATCAACTAGCACTAGCGAATAGAAATATGAGCTGTGTATGAAATTAAGTTTTTAGTAGCCTCATTAAAAATGTAAAAAGAAACAGGTGGAATTAATTTTAATAATATCTATTCTATAACCCAGTATATGCAAAATACTATTTCAAGCTGCAACCAATTTAAAAATTGAGCTATCTTACTTTTTTTTCATAGAAAGTCTTTGAAATCCTGTGTATATTTTATACTTACATCCCATCTCAATTCAGACTAGCCACATTGCAATTTCTCAGTAGCTACATTGCACTGTGCAACTCTGGAGCCTAGCAATCAGATGTGGTCCTAGACTAGTAGAGTGGGCAACCTGGGAGCTTGTTAGACATGCAGAATCTCAGCCCCCACCCCAGACACACTGCAACAAAATCTGCATTTCAACAAGATTCCCTAGGTGATTTGTGTGCGCATTAACATTTGAGATGCACTGTTCTAGAATTCTCCATATGAGGTTTTCCATCATCACCTAGTAAAAAGTGTAGGTGAAATAGGAAGTCATTTCAGTGAGCCCTCTGTAACTGAGCCTGCAAACTTATCAGACTCCATCTTTCCCCCTCCTTTTTAAAATCCCACTGCACAGCTAATTAGCCTTCACAGAAAGGACAATTTGAAGTAAGTTAAATTCAAATAAATCAACTAATTTTGGTTGATTGATTAAGGGAGAGATTTAAAGTACCAAAATAACACACCATTTTTGGATTAGAAGTGGATTTAATTTGCAAGGCTATACTTCAATGCCATGAGCACAACTTTAAAATATATTTGATTTCTCTTTAGTCTGTTATCTGATTTTTTATTACTTCCTTTCCCCTACTTACCTAATCAATGTTATTTAATGCAACTGTAATTTCATTTTTTTCTTGGTAGAGTTTGAGTTGATGAATAATAAGAGACTTAGTCCATCAACCATATTTTCTCTGCCTGCTACGTTTACCTAAGAAAAGGACTTCAAAGGCCCCTGTGCGTGCTTGTACCAATGCCAGGACATTATGCATTATATTCAGGGTAGCTCCTGCCGGTTATAATTTGAGGCTATTTCTTTCTGCTTTGAACTCTTTAGAGAAAAACAACAGTTATTTACCATCCTGGAAATGAAATCTTTTCATGTTATGCTCAACATTCTCATTTCCCAGTTCCTTTAATCGTCTTTGATGGTGGCCTCTGGATAGCCTCCAAGCACCCCAGAATCCTTGGATTTTTGGAGATGTCCCCAGTTAAATACCGAATCTTTTAAAAGGACTCGGTGTGCTAATAAAAGCCCTGTACTGAGTGGGAAAATAATCTACTAAAATGGGTGACTGTGTCAGTTAATCGATGTGGGTATCTTGAAGGACAATTATTTCATCCAATTTTTGTACATTGAATGCCATCTGTCTTTGCAAATCATGTATCATAACAGCACAACATAGGACTCATCACAGAGGGGACTTTTATTTATCCTTCCTATATCATTGGCATTCAGTATCTTAGTAAGATTAAACATAGGTTCCAGAGCAAAATTATTGAACCCTGTATTCACCGGACTGCCAAAAATAAACCAATCCACAGATGAATAAAGAACTCAATAGGGCCCATTATTGCTGCCAACCCTGGCTCCCGCCTCAAGGCTGCTGGTCTTCCTTTTAAGATAAATGCTAAAAACATTATCGAGAATGATTAAAAATCTGATTAATTAAGTGCTGGTCAAAGACCATCCACATCTCTCTGAAGTTGGCAATAGTAAATTCTGAATATTCTAAAACACAAGATGACCTAAAAAATGATTTTCTCTTGTTTGAGAAAAATATTTTTGGAGAGTAGATTTATGAATAGCACAGATGGTTTGGGGCAGCAGAGTGGTTCTGTGATTAAAAACCTGCCAGACACAATCCGCAATGTGAAACTTTCATCAGTGATACCTTATCTGCCCCCCTGATTGATTCCTATTGACTTTCTTTCAACCCACCTCTACAGGAAACTATCTTAGTTATGTCTGCAGTAGAGACACAGTTCTCAATTCTAAATTAATGACTCTGGGTTTTAATGGTAGTGCCAACACAAGCCAGTTCAGTAACCTTGAGAAACCACTCTGCTCCTTTTGTGCCTCTGTTTCTTCATCTGTGAAATGAGCACATTGAGATGGAATAGTGAAACCCAATCTTGTCATCATTACAGACCCCTTTTATCCTGTGGATCCTTGCCATTCCTGAGGGATATTTACAAATCTCCACATTTTTACAAATCTCCACATTTATAACTACCCAGTGTGGGATATAGTTTTTCTCACTAAATGCAATGAAGTATAGCAGGCAGATTTATATGACCCCTTCATATTCTTTATGATTCTAAAATACAGAATGAAAATCATTTGCAAAGTCATTAAAAACAAATGCCATAGCTAAAATCAAAACTCTAGGTTGTGTTATGTTATGTCATTACAGTGGTAACACTGACAGTGCATTTCCTTTACTCTGTGAAACACAAGTGTGGCTATTTTTTACTTAAATCATTTCACTTCACAAGGGCTTCTGGCTAGGCAACTTTGAATGCAGAGCAAGGACTTGGCTATTTCAGGTGTCACGAGTCACTAAGCTTTTTTTTTTTGGCATAGAACTGGGGTGTAGACCAGAGGTATGGAGGCGTGAGAGGATTCACCAGAGACAGAGTGGGGAGCAGGACAGATCTACAGAAATACAGTGCTGAGGAGAGCAGAGAGAGAGACAGGAGAGGTCTGCTGCGTCATATGTGGGTTAGCTCCCAGGCCAGGAATCAAACTCAGGCCATAAAGGTGATGGCACTGAGACTTCACCCTTAGGCTACCAGGGAGGCCCACACTAAGCATTTAGTGCACACAGAACAGGGTGTGTTTCAGTGAAATGGCAGATCCCAGGACACAGCCTTGTGGCTATTCCCCGGTGTGCTGAAACTGTCTGTGGTGAACCTGGCTATCATAAGGCTCTGGTAGACCACATATTTTCAAGGATTTAGCCTCTTCAACCATATTTCTTAATTAATACTTAAATCCTTCCTCTAGCTGTATTTGGTAAAGACATCCATCACTGCTGACTTGGGTGCCAATAATCTGTGTTCCCATGTTGAAATGACATGGCACCCATAAAAAGCAAAGATACCTAACATTCCTTCCTTTTATTTATTTATTTATTTATTTATTTATTTATTTATTTATTTATACAAGCACTGGGTACAGTCAGAAGCGCGGGAGGGTGAGAGAATTCACCAGAGCCAGAGGGGAGAGTAGAGCAGGCAGACGGAGGAAGCACACTGCTGAGGGGAGCAGAGGGCAGCAGGAGAGGTCTGCGTGCCATATGGGATCCTTGCCACGCGGCCGGGGATCAAACTGGCACCGCAGAGGCTGCAGGCACCTTCGCAGCCCAGCGCTCACCGGGGAGGCCCAACATTCCTTCCTTTTAAATTGTGTGGTCTTGGGGCCTCCCCGGTGGCGCACAAGGTTAAGTCTCAGCACTATATGAAGCAATCCGTAGCCACTGCAGCACGAGTTCAATCCCTGGCCAGGGAACTAACCCACATGGTGCAGCAGACCTCTCCTGTCTCGCCAGCTGCTCCCCTCAGCAGTGTATTTCAGGAGATCCGCCTGTCCTGCTCCCTCCTCTGTCTCTGGTGAATACTCTCACCACCACCACCACCCCACACACACACACCTGTGTCCTACACCCCGGCTGTTGTATACATAAATAAATAAAATAAATCTTAAAAAAATAAATTGTGCAGTCTTGTTGTGGATTTCAGTAGGTCAGGTTAGAAGACAGTAGGTTTAGACAGTTTTTCAAGGTCCCTCGTGTCACTCTGTGATCCAGGCCATAGGAAGAGATCCTTTCTCTCTGAGCAGAGCCATAGTTATCAATACCTCTAAGCTGCCTCAGGCTCAGGACCCAATATAGGAATTAGACCAGCTAAGATCTTCTTCCTCCACATCTCTCATCTCCCCTTCAGCGTCGGCCTGTGTGGGGCTGAGATAGAGATAGTCTAGGAGCAGTAGACTTTTGTGGTGCCCTTGCTTCATGTCAAACACTGTGCCGAGGATTAGAAGAAAATGAATGAGATAGACTTCTCACTCTCGGGTAGTTTGCAAGGCACTAGGGGAAGCAAACGTGTGTACAGATCATTTGAATATCATACTGTATAAGTGCTGAGGTTTGTCTAGAAAGCTATGGAAGCTCAGGGAAGGCTTCCTGGAGAGGTAATCCCTGAGGTAAATGGTCAGGCCAAGAAAGGTAGAAAGTTTGTTCCAAGAGGAGTGAACAACCTAGGCAGTCAGAGACACGGAACCACACAGTGGTTTTATGGAAATAAGCTTCAAGTCAGGAGGAGAAAAGACAGGAGAACAGAGCAGGAGATGGGTCACAAAGGGCTTTCTGTGTCTTGCTAAGGCATCTGGGTACCAGGGAGCCAATTCGTGGGTTTAAGCACAAGAGTGACGTAGTCAGATTACTGTTTTCAAAGGCCTCTCACTCTTCCTCTGAGACAGAATGAATTTAAGGTGTAGCAAAGCTGGGCAGAAATCTAGAGAGGTATAGAGCCTGAGGGCCTTTCCACAAGCCTGTCCTTCTGGCTTGAGCCCCTCCCTCTTCCACCAGCTTTCTGCCAGATGTCTAGAAGCAGAACTGGATCTCAGGTGGAGACTTTGAGTGTGTAGAAAGGCAGGCAGTGGCAAGGGAGAAACCCCAAGGGGCATGTCTCACTTGGAGACTACAATAGCTTCTCCAGGATTGCCAGGGGAGGCTAAAGAGGCACAGACTACTGGGTGGTGGGGAACTGACATTTTGTACCCCTGTGTCCATCAGTGAGTGGCTGGCTGAAATCTGCTGGTGGGTAGCCAGTTGCCACGGAGCATAGCCTCCCATGTGGCTAGGTCAGATCTCCTGTGAAGGTGTCAGCCATGAGCTTTGTTAGCAGCCAACTCTGCAACTGGGAGTTGGATCACCTGCTGGAAATGTAAAGGGGATCCACAGACCACTAGTGGGTTACCTTCACCTGTCAAATTCCTCCTCCTCCTTCAGGGCTCAGGTTACTGGTGTAACTCCCTCCTGGTGGCCTTTCCCACCTCCCAGAGAGGGTTGGGGGCCTTCCTGTGTACTTCCTCATTTTGTGACTCAGCAGTGTCATGAACTACATGTGCAACTACATGTGCTATCAGTCATGTGTGCATATTTTTCTCTCTCTATACCGTGCCTTCCTGAAGATCAACAGTCATGTTTAGCATTCATTTTATATTGCCCAGGGCCACGCCTGGCTCCATAATTTAGATGTCCCAGTACAAAATGAAAATACAGATCTCTTAAAAAAAAAAAACAAAACTATAAGGGTCTCCCTGGTGGCGCAAGGGGTAAAGATGCAACCTATGAAGCAATCCGCAGCCACTGCAGTTCGAGTTCGATCCCTGGCCAGGGAGCTACCCACATGGCACTGTAGACCTCTCCTGTCTCTCCCACTGCTCCCCTCAGCAGTGCATTTTAGTCGATCTGCCTGTTCTGTTCCCCTCTCTGTCTCTGGTGAATCCTCTCACCCCCACACCTCTGGCCTGTACCCCAGTTCTTGTATGCATAAATAAATCTTTTTAAAAGTAAAAATTTCAAGATGGCAACAACAGAGCATTAAACCAGGCAAGGAATTCTTCTGAAGGTCAAATGCCCAGGGAAACCTGCCCTGCCTAAGGCTATCCATACTGTAGGTAATCATTGACTGCTTTCAAAAGAATGGCTACAGTGAATGAATGAATGAATGCATAATTAAATAGGTTCCATTCTTTTTCAAATCATCATTTGGTTTGTGGGAGCTACTGAAGAAGGACAATGCTACAGTCGACCATTGTCTGTAGTTGAGTGGGAAGCACTGGGTGAGAGTGTCTGTTGCTAGGTGTTACACATAGGAGTGTTAAAGGGCAGATTTTAAAAGAGGATAAAATCATGACTCACACATATAAAATAAACATGCCAATGACTTTACTTACGCCATTAATTAATGAGGGAATCCAAAAGGAGTTACCACTGGTTCAAAGGAAAAGCCAACAGACATATTTAAAGCCATTGGGAATGCTGATGTGAATTTGCTTGATTTATGCAAAACTGACTTCTTGCAGAGGCCAAGGGAAGTCCATCCATCCTCTACCAGATAGAAAGTGAGTTTCCAGGAACAGAAATTATTTACATTACTATCAGATTTCTACAAGGTAATTTCTGTCTCTGCAGAGTTGTAAAATACCACCATCAAAGACAAGGAACGGCAGAGATAACCCTGATGGATAAACTAGTCAAGATACCTGCTAAATCCCAGTCTCCCCCACTTTTTATATGGGATAAAGGGTAGAATATACAGGGGGAGAGAGAGCTTGTGTGGTCTCTTCCCTAAATGTGAGCACCTGGAACTTGGGGAAACCATACGCTGTCGCTTCTGTTTTTCCATGCCTGCCTATGTGTACGTTTGTCTTTGTTTAGTTTTGAAGGAAAATTTCTTTCCTTGGAATTATCAAATAGGAAAGGACTCATTTCACAGCTGGAGAAGTCTCAGCCAGGTCATTTGCGATCATTGATGTTTGTGGAAGGACACCAGTTTTACTCTTTTTATTTTTATTTTATTCTATTTTTAAAGATTTATTTATTTATACAAGCACTGGGTACAGTCAGAAGCGCGGGAGGGTGAGAGGATTCACCAGAGCCAGAGCAGGGAACAGAACAGGTAGAGTGACAAAATACACTGCTGAGGGGAGCAGTGGGTGCAACAGGAGAGGTCTGCGCGCCATGTGGGACCCTCGCCGGTGGCTGGGGATCGAACTGGAGCTGCAGAGGCTGCCGGCAGCTTCACAGCCCAGCGCTCAACCGCTGCGCCACCAGGGGAGGCCCAGTTTTACTCTTTTTAAAAAAAATGTTTAATTATAAGTACGTAAACATTACAAATTCCGTGCATCTGTGGGAGAATGGGCAAACTGTATAAATATTTGGCCACCTCAAATTGGCAGATATTTATAATGCATACTGAAGGAGACATCATTAAACATTAACCCAGTTGTAAATTGTGGATTTTATAGATCTGTGTACTTGTCGTTCTATCTCCAGGGACTGTGGCCACAATACAATTCAAACAACTTCCACAGAGTCTCACAGGAATAACAAAACTCCCTTGTAAAAGATTCCATGGCCTTGCTACTCAAAATGTGCTTTCCTGGAAGGGCACTTTTAAGAAATGTGTCAGTGTCAGTACCTGACACTTTGGTTTTTCTGTATTCCTCATATACATGAAAGCTTAAAATCTCACAACAGATATGAGGCACCCAGGAGAGAAGGGGTTTGAGGAGGAAGGCATGAAAACTGGGAATAGGGGAGGAAGGGGAAGAGCATAAGGGAATATAGTGACTAGGGATGCTTTGGTGGTGGGAGAGCTATGGTGACCACACCTGAGCGAGGAAATCATATATTGTCAAAAAATTAACAACGATGTAGGAAAAAATACTACATTAAAAAATTGAAAGAAAAGTATCAAAAAAAAGAAAAAGAAATGCAGTACCTCCAGCCCCTCCTCTGACCTACCAAATTAGAAGGGATATTTTACTAATACCCAAGGGATTTGTGGGCCTTATATAGTTTGACAAGTTCATTTCCTCCTGAGAGTCACCTCTAATATCTTTGGTGTTTTCACAGGGATAGCCTATCTGTTTGCCAAAGCTTATCTGGTTTCCAAGAAACCACAGTACCTGGATACCTGTATTCGGTGTGGGGAACTTACATGGCAGAAGGGCCTGCTGAAGAAGGGGCCAGGAATTTGCCATGGGGTAGCTGGCAGTGCTTACGTCTTCTTACTGCTGTACCGGCTTACTGGAAACTCGAAATACATCTACCGAGCCCAAAGGTCAGCTCTTCTTCACGTGTTGTTGGTTTTCTTCTTTTTCTATTTTCCAAATTTTAATAACTGTTCTGAATAGGCACTAGAGTCATATAGTTGAAATGGTGTAAAAAGCATACATCTACTATGCAACCTAGAGATTTATCAATAGTTCACCTCCCAGATGACAATCAGTGTCACCAGTTTCTTAGTTCTTTTTCCCAGAGATGTTCTGTGTAGATACAAGCAAATAGGCATGCATGTAAAATTTTGTCCCCTTTTGTTAAATATGAATGGTGGCACCTCGCTATTTTAGAGAACACCCTAAGTCAGTGTATAAATGGTTTTGCATTTTATTGTTGCATTGCAATTCATTATATGAATGAATTATCATTTATTTAACCAGTTTCATATAGAGGGATATTTGTATTACTTCAGTATTTTGCATTACAAATCATGCTATGATGAATAACCTTGTACATATATCTTTGCACATATTTGGGTATATTTGCAAGATAGTGTCGCTCCCTAGAAGTGGGATTGCTGGGTTAAAGAGTATGCATATTTCTATTTTTTTTATTCTGATAAAAACACTTAACAGATTTATCCTTATAACATTTTAAAAATTTTGATTGAAGTAACATAGCATTATGTAAGTTTCAGGTGTGTGTGCATCATTCTAAGTTAACATCTATATGTACTACAATAAGTTCACTGCTGAAAGTACAGTTCAGACCTTTTTCCTGGTTTACTCATCCTCTTCCCCTTTCATTTCTGATAACCATTAGTTTGCTCTAAAAGTTTATTTTTAATTTTCTTAGTTTGCATTTGTTTATTTAATCTGTATAGCACATGAGCACAATCATGTGGTGTTTATCTTTCTGTCTGACTTATTTCACTAAGCATAATTCCCTCTCAGTCCATCATGTTATTGCAAATGACAAGATTTCATCTTATTTTTTTTAATGGCTGAGCAGTATTCCATTGAGTCCATGTACCACGTCTTTATCCATTCATCTATTGGTGGGCATTTAGGTCTCATAGCATATTTTATTTTATTTTTTCTCATAACATTTTCAAATGCACAATAGCATATTGTTAACTATAGACACAATGTCACACAAAAGATTTCTAGAATTTATTCACCTTTAACACCTATAGCAAACTTTATACCCATTGAACAACAACTCCCCATTCCCAGCTCCTCCTGGCCCCTGGTAACTAGCATTCGATCTGTGCTTCTGTGAGTTCGACCACTGCAGATCCCTCAAATAAGTCTTATCGAGCTGCATTTGTCTTTTGTGACTGGCTTATTTCACTTAGCATAATGTCCTCATTTATATTTAGAGCAGTGTCTGCCACATAGTAACTATAATGTAAGTGTTCACTGTTTATTATTACTAAAAATTTGAATTATGTCATTCCAGGCATGTCTCTATGCATAAATATTTGTTCATATATCCATAATGCATATATGTATATATATATTTTTTATTTTTTTTTATTTTTGCATAGAACTGGGATGTAGGCCGAGGTACAAGGGGTGAGAGGATTCACCAGACACAGAGTGGGGAATAGAACAGGTAGATTTACTGAAATACGCTGCTTAGGGGAGCAGCGGGCAACACAAAAGAGGTCTGCTGCGCCATACAGCTCCCTGGCAGGGAATGGAACTCAAGCCATAGTGGTGATAGCACACTGAGACTTAACTCCTAGAATACCAGGGTGGCCATGTATATGTATATTTAATTTATTTTTTTTAAAGATTTATTTTATTTATACAAGAGCTGGGGCACAGGCCAGAGTCGCGGGAGGGTGAGAGGATTCACCAGAGACAGTGCTGGGAGCAGGACAGGCAGACAGACTGAAATACACTGCTGAGGGGAGCAGCAGGCGAGACAGGAGAGGTCTGCTCGCCATGTGGGTATCTCCCTGGCCAGCCGGGAATCGAACTGGCACTGCAGAGGCTGCGGACAGCTTCATAGCACTGCGCTCAACCCGCTGCGCCACCGGGGAGGCCCTGTATATGTATATTTTAATAAGATCCCGTGTGTATGTATGACAGCACCATACATACTATTTGAAGCTTAGAATTTTAAATAAAAAATTTTAAGGGACCTTATTTATTTCCGTTTGTATAGCTCTGTCTGATTTTAATGGTTATATAATTATTCATTATAGATGTGCCATGATTAATTTAACAATCTTTAAATGATGGCTATTTGGTAATGTGTAATTTTTACTAATGCAAACAAATTGTCCCAAATATTCAGTGCATACATTTCTGGGTAATTGTGTAAGAGTTTTTTGTCAGAGAAATTTTAGAAATGAAGCCATAGAGCCACAGGTATTTATGGCCTGGCTATCTTTTGCCCATTTTTTTTCCTTATTGCAGTGCTTACATTGAGGATTTTAACTCTGTTAATATATAATGTAAATAGTTTTCTGCTTTTTTCTTTTCTGCTATTTCTCTTTCAATTTAGGTGATGGTATTTTGCGGGACTAAAATTTTAAGTATTTTTCCTGTCAAAGTTGTCAATCTCTTAAAATTTTAAGACTTTATATTATGCTTTAAAAGACCTTTCCGAGATCAGGCACTTTCAGGGTGCCACAAAACACAACAAAGCAAAAAACGGACAATTATAAATCAGAGACATCCTGCAGGGGAGGAGGAGGGAGAGGGATCAGAGGGAGGGAGGGAGGAGCACAGGGGACTGAGGTGATGGTGCACAGGTGCACTGGGGAAGGAAATTCTATAAGGACTACACCTGAGGGGGTGGGGAAAAGCAAATATTGTTTAAAAATGAACAATGATGTAAAAAAATTAAAAAAAAGAATATTAAAAAAGAAAGAAGAATAAAAACAGGCCTTTACCACTCCAAGTTTACAAGAATATGAATTTACATTGACTCTTAGTACCTTAGTGATTTTATTTTATCTTTAAAATCTTTGATTCATCTAGAAATTCCTTCATTTAATGATATCAGATGGGTATCTATTATGTTTTTAGAAAAAATAAATTTTTCAATAGCAGCTCTTAACCAATTACCCCAATGATTAGAAATTCCAATTTTATCATAAAACAAATTTACAGAATTATGTGGGTTTGTTTTTGGACTATCTCTATTTCATATTAATTTACTTCTATTTTTCTCATTATTCTCTAACATTTATTCTTCCAATTATATTTTAGAATCAATTTGTCAGTTTTTTAAAAACTCCCATGGACATTTGATTTGAATTTACAAGTTACTCTAGTGAAAATTAACTTCTTTATAGTGCATTGAATTTTTTCAACCAGGAATATGGCATAGTTTCCATTTATTTAGATTTTTAAAAATGTTAGGGGCCTCCCTGGTGACGCAAGGGGTTTCAATCCCTGGTCAGGGAGGTCACCCACAAGGTGCTCACCAGCTGCTCCCCTCAGTAGTGTATTTCAGTAGACCCACCTGTTCTGCTCCCCACTCTGTCTCTTGTGAATCCTTTCACCCTCCACATCTCTGGCATACACCCCAGCTCTTGTAAATAAATAAATCTTTAAAAATTGTTAGTTGATATAGATTTGACCTTATGAAGAAAGTCTTCATTTCCTTCTCTGGAAATTTTATATTTTCACGTTTATTATGATTGGACTCTCCCTCTCCATTATAGTTGCAGGTTGTTTAGTGCTAGTTTTGGTGAAGATTTTAAAAAACATACATGTTATTGTGTTTTAGCAATCTGAGTTCACTTCTTTCATATAAATCTGTATTGTAACTTATTAACACCTGAGTTTTCATAAATGCAGTGATATATCTGGGCACCTGAACTCCATTTCTGTTTCTATTAGATTTTTATTAGAGTCCATTGGGATTTTTTTTTAATTTGTTTGTTTGTTTATTTATTTATTTATTTATTTATACAAGCACTGGGTACAGTCAGAAGCGCGGGAGGGTGAGAGAATTCACCAGAGCCAGAGCGGGAAGCAGAATAGGCAGAAGGACCGAAGTACACTGCTGAGGGGAGCAGCGGATGGCAGGAGAGGTCTGCCCGCCATGTGGGACCCTCGCCCGGTGGCCGGGGATCGAACTGGCGCTGCAGAGGCTGCGGGCAGCTTCGCAACCCAGCGCTCAACTGCTGAGCCACCGGGGAGGCCCCCATTGGGATTTTTTTAAACAGCACACATAATACCTGCAAATAACTATAATTTTGTTACTTCCTTTCTCATTAGTATACTCTTCCTTTGTTTGTATGTTTCCTATTGCATGGTTCATAATCTTCATAACAGTGTTCAATAATAAGAGGGAGAGTAAACATCCTTGACTTTATTCTGATTTTATATGAAATGATTCTCTGTTTCACTATGGCCTAATTTGCTTTTATGGTAAACATCATTTCTGATTATGACACACTCTTTTCATGATATTCCAGTGGCTTGCTGTATGACTCAGAGTAGAAGCTAAGGTCTGTCCTTTGAATGAAAGGTCCTACATGATCTTTATCTCTCTGATGTCATCCCCTACTCTTCTGATTCTTTCCACCACAGTGGCTTCTTTATAATTCTGTTAGGATGCCAGGTACAGCAATCTACCTCAAGGCCTTTGAAGTTTTGGTTCCTTCTACCTGTGATTCTTATTTTCTACATATCTCCCAGCTCTCACTTCATCAAATCTTAACTCAAAAATCATTTTCACAGAAAGGCCTTCCCAAACCAACTTACCTATTGATAATTGTCAATATTGAAAAAACATAAAGTGATGATATTAGTGTGTATGCACTGAAGGAAAATGCTAACATAAGCATTTATGTTATGCTTTATGATGATATTAGTGTGTATGCACTGAAGGAAAATGCTAACATAAGCTCTCGATTTGCAGCTCCCTTATTTAAGAATTCTGTTAACATATTTTGATTCATGGTTTTCTAATAATAGACTGACTATAATTTCAATAATGTAATAAAATAAAATAATGCATGAGGGGAAAGATTGGAAGGAGAGAGAGCAAAATTAACTGTGGGTTTCTTTTGAAGCATGATGGGAAAATTGTCTCTGTTTTACAAATATCTGGCTGTAATATTTTTTTATGTCTTGAATTCTTCCCACTTTATTCTTTTTAGAAGTTGTTTTTTCAATTTTTTACATCATTGTTCATTTTTAAATAATGTTTGCTTCCCTCGGCGCTCCCCTCCCCCCAGCTATAATATTTTTATAATCATGGGGGAGTCTCCTTCTATCTTCTAGGTTCTTTGGGCTGCTCTAATGATGAAATTGCCATAAGACAGATAAACAAGAAAGCCAAATTTAATTGCATCCGCATACGAACCCTACAAAGATATGAGGCTCCCTGACAGGCAGCTGGGGTTTATATGCCATCCTGAACTAGGGAGAAGAGGATAGGGCTCTGGGACTTCACAGGAGAGGAAGACATTTACAAGAAAGTGAGAAGAGCAAATGCTTGGTAAACAAATGTCTGTGGAGAGAAAGGGACACAGAAGAATTTGGGCCTTGAAAACTTTTCCCTAGTCTACTCAGCCTAGTTCATTGTCTTTGGAGTTATCTCTGGTTATAGCTGTCTTCCTGCTACAGACTGTCGATCTAAATTCTTTTAGGCAGTTAAAGGGGAGGGATAAAGAAAATCTTGCATCTGCTGCTTCTTAAAAATAATCAACCCCAAATAATCCTTGTACGAAATAGACATTTTGGTGTGGCAAATTTCGCTCCCCCATACTTGTTATGTACTCAGAGCCTAACATATGGTATCTTTAATCTTTACAGATAATCTTTGCAGTTCTGCAGCTTCATCATTTTAAAGCGACATTAAGAAATTTAAAGTGAGATAAAGAAATTTCATGTAACTTGAAATTATCAGAGTTGGGTATCTTTTGGCAACTCCAAAGCCCTTCCTCTTTCTGCATCAGGACTTCTTAAGCTAGGGTTTGTAAATTTACCTGAGAAAAATAAATATTTCAAGCTGAAATGTGGCATTTCCTTTCATTCTGAGCATAGGTAATAAGCCACAGGAGAATTAGCTGTAGCTCTAACACTGTCACCAATAGCAGTCATAGATATTCTCATATCTATTGCAAATATTATGAAATATGTTTTACTCCCATAACTACTTAGAAATGTCAGTACTTACTAGACCATAGTAGATTTTGTTATTTAATGTGCTAATAAATAATACATATATAATTATATCACAAATTTGGTTTCAAGATTTTTATGAAATCTCCTTTAATATCATTAACTTGGGGGAAAACCCTATGTATTTTATTTTATATGTTTGGAGACATTTTTCCTGAGGAGTCCAGACTACCAAGTGATCCATAGTGCTAAAAAGGTTAAGAGTCCTTGAAGCTCTTTACTTTTCTAGTGCTGTGAATGATGGGAATGGCTTTATTTGTATAGCCTCATTATATAACTGCAAAATTTTAATTAGCACTTAAGATGCATCATTATTCTACTGTCTAAAATTTTGAATTCCATTTAAAAACTGTTGCACATTCAAGAAAACATTTGATAGAGAAATTGTACCAAACAGTACCTCAATATGTTTCCTGCTGATTCATTTTAAGCCGCTGTCAGTAATTCCAAGAACCCTAAAAAGATCAAATAAGTAATTACTTTTCATAGGACCCCCTAAGTAGAAGCAATAATCTAAATTTATGAGGGAGGTCTCAGCTCTCAGACATTACCAACCCGTGTGCTGTAGCCTCTGAATGGGTGATTTTTTTTTTTTTTTTGTTATTGATGGGAACCGGTAGAGCAAGTCAGTGGAGAGATGACATAGATGACAGCACTTTCAAAGCTGTAAACTACTGAAAATGTTACTCATTATAAATAATTTGAATAGTATTTGTGGCAAATACAGGAAAATGATCTTTTATAGAGAAGTTAGAGGTTGATGATTTATTTTTAAGGTGGATGTCCTAAAAATAATCCATCTTGTAGCTGAGTTTGCTATTTGATGTCATGATTATAAAATGTTGCTTGCCTTTTTCCATTCATCTTATTCCTTTGTTTGCCCAAAGCACAGATAGTATAAAATCCTGCCCATTTATTTTCACAGTCTCTGCTCGCTGTCACATATTAGTGAAACCTAACTCAGGAATTATATGCCTGCAGAAACATAGCATCTTTATTCTTTTAAAGGAATAGTCACATACCAGCTTCCTTCTATTCATGATCAATAAAAATATGAGAATTAATATATTTTTTACTTTTAATTATTGATAAAAGAAGGAATGGAATCCTTAGAAAATGCCAAACTGTTTTGCGTTGCAAAAATAACTGAATTTGCTTGCCAACATAATTTGTTGTGAAACATACATAATTATATAACAGATTTTTTTATATATATTTAAAGGGCAGGTTTATTAGGGAAAGGATAAAACAGTTAAAGACACTTGCATAGACACCAGCGGGCAGGAAGAGCTGCCCCAGAAGGGACAGGTTTGCTGAGAGAGGCCCGCATGGTTGCAGGCAGGTGGCCTTGACAGGTCACGGGCAGGCAGGAAGGCTGCTGCCCTGTAGAGGAGAGAGTTGGTGAAAAGAGGCACCTGCATAGTCACAGGTGGGCAGTGGGATTGCTGCTAACAGATTCTTTTTTTAACAGAGGAAAAGAAGCTTTCTTAAAATGTTACAGAGTTCTGGAAAGAAACTGATGCTAAAATTTGAGCTTAGCAGAGAGGGGGAAGAAACCACTCAAGACCAATAAGAGGGTGTTAAAGTAGAAATCCAACTAGCAAATTTATAGCTCTGATTGCCTTTATTAAATGATCCATGAATCAGGCAGCATTCCAATCTAGCAAGCAGAGGAGAGATCTAAAGCTCTATAAAAAGGGAAAGGTAATATAAGGAAGTCATAAGTGAAAAAGTGTATATATATTCAGGCTTGGGTGACCTATCTATGGGGAATGGAAAAAAAAATAAATGTGGTAGTTTCTCATCTTATCTTGGGGAATGTAAACAATTACCTTATTTGGTGCAGATCAGAAAATTCCACACTGAATAGTTGAGACTATATTCCTGGGGGAGATTGAAACCACAGTGTGGGTGGGCTTTAAATCTTGTTAGGGGGCCTCCCTCGTGGTGCAGGGGTTAAAGACAGCGCTATCAAGCTGTCACCAGCCACAGCAGTACGAGTTCTATCCCCCGGCCAGGGGGCAATCCACATGGTGCAGCAGACCTCTCCTGCCTCATCCCCTTCTCCCCTCAGCAGTGTATTTCAGTGGATCCTCCTGTTCTGCTCCCCACTTGCTCTGGTGAATCCTCTCACCCTCTGCACCTCTGTTCTACACCCCAGTTCTTTTATGTATACATAGATAAATCTAAAAAAAAAAAATCTTGTTAGGCTTTGCACAAGTGATGCCAGTTTGGGCCTGCCACGTTTTTTTTAATTTTATTTTTATATTCCCCAAACAATTGCAACCCCTTTATTTTGACCCCAATCCCTCCCCCCCGCCCCCCTCCCCTCATAAAGTGTCTCTGGTTCATAGTTGTTTGTTGATTATGATTTTCACTTTCTTTTAGATATTCATTTTCCTGGTCCTTTATTTAAGTTTTCTAGATTCCATTTTTTTTTTTTTTAACAATGGAAACCCTCATCTTAAAACTTCATATTTTCTCCTTTTTCTTAGGTTTGCTGAATTTTTATTTACTGAGGAATTCAAGGCTGGTTCTCGTGTCCTGGAAAGTATATACAGCTTGTATGAAGGCTTCTCCGGGACAGTGTGCTTTCTGATCGATCTGCTGCATCCCAATCAGGCTGAGTTCCCTCTCTTCAGCGTCTTTGTTTAAAAGGCTTCATCTCCCTCTGTGACCCTGCAGAAGGTCCCTGAGATTTCCTGAGCCTACCGGAGGCAGTTTCCACATAAGCCACATTCAATGGTATCACAGCCATGAGCCTTAACATTGCCGCCCAAAGGAAGGAAGGGAGCAGGCAGGTGAAGGCAACATGAAACCAGACCTGAGGGAGAACAGTGTGAGACCCTGCAAAACAATGACACCACAACTCTTCTTAAAACCATAGAGATTTAATAGTTTAGGAAGTCCATGTGAAACCAGAGTGCAGAGGAAAAAGAGAAAGAAATCATCTGTTTTTCAGTATGGCATAGAAAACAAGACTGAAATGTGCACAATGACAATAAAATGCCTTGTGGTTGGAGAGAGAACTTGACTGTTTGTGGGTGCCCTCCACCCCTAAATTCAGATATAAGGGTGATTAAAAATTAAGTAATTTCCCAGCTGAAAACTGCTAGGAGAGATGAAGTGTCAGGTCGCTAAAGGACAAGAAAAGGAAATTCTTGGTTGTCCTATGCCTTTACTTATTGAAATTCGTGATTTTTAATGAATGGAGACATTTGCAGGTGAATCTCTATTTTTTATCATTACCCTGGGCACTTTAAAAAAATCGTATCATAACTTAGTTTAAGCCCTGAAATTCAAGTTTCCTTAGGCCTTAGAGCATCTCTTTTTCCTGGTTCCTTTTTCTTTCATAAAGCTCAAGTAGATAGTAAAATTCATAGGCTAGCAAATACTGTAGCAATTTTTGCTGTCAAGCGTTTTGCTCAATTTGAAATGTGAGCTGCGTATTGTCCGTTGTTAGTCATTTTTAAAATGCCTATGTAATCCCTATGATGCTATTAGCTGAACTGTAAAATAGACTCATGGTAAAAAAAAATCACTCATCTCAAGGATCAGGGTAACTGCTACAGAGGTGTGTTGTTGCTGCCTTTGATTGAATACTGTGTCCCCTGGGACAGGCAGACATTGTCTAAAAAGGACCAGGGGTTGTGAAAAGAGCATTGCTCAATGTTATGCTATTAGATTTAGACATGAGTGAGCTCCATGACTGATCACCTTACCTTCTAACACACAGCCTCCATGGATATTGTCTACAAGACCCACTGAGTCAAGTTGTATTAAATTCAACGCTGTTGTAAACACATAGAAGTTGTAAAACTACTTCAAGTAAGTAGTGGTTTGCAAAACACTGTAGGAGCATCTGTCACTTAAACACTCAAACATGAGCTGATCCATTTTCTAGAATTTGATCATTGACTATTTCATATATCAGGGTGAGGAGGACATTGTGTATTGTATAAGATTTAATGCTTATTTAAATAGTATTTAAAATTTGTATATATGTGATAGATGTAGACTATATTCTATCATACACAGAATATATATGCATATATTCTACATCTATTGCCATGTAAACCCAAGCACTTATTTAATTCAGTAGTCCTTAACTTCTTGATTCATAGATGAACTTTCGGAGGAGTTAGGGGTAAATATTTGTGTGTGCATTTGTATGTGTGTGTGTGATTGTGTGTGTGTTTGATTGTGTGTGAGTGTGCACTTATTTTTCTAGGAAAAGGATGTCTAGCATCGATAAGGATCTCAAAAAAGAATTGTGACTGACTGAAAAAAAAAAAGGTAAAGAAGCACCTTTGTAATTTTATGGCACTTTATGTTTCTACCCATCAGAACAAACTAAGACAAGATGGTTTTGAAAAGCATACACCTTTTTAGCTCATCCTTATATAAATATGTAAGTAAAATTGGCCTCAGTTGTTCATCTTTGAAAATACTCAGTTTGGGGCAGTACCACATGAAGAGTAGCTCTTAGATCATTCCAAAAGTTGGGTTGCAGATGTATTTTCATTTACAGTCAAGGATGTCTCAGTGTCTTAAGGCACAATGCCTTTACAAAACAGTCTCCTTTGGAAATGAAAATGGTACCTGCTTCTCATTATCTGCATTTAAATTCATTTTACTTGACCCTTGTGGACGGAAGGTAGTAAGTACCCAGTTTACAGGGTTTTATGGAACACATGCTTTTTTCATGATCCACCAACCCCAAAGGTGCTTAAAGTAATTGATCCAAAGTCTCACAGCTAAGGGGGTGCAGAATGAGGATTCAGACCCTGGATTTCACTTTCCAAGTGTATATATTCAGTGTTCTTGACTAGAATCTAGGGATACAGCAGTGGATGAAATATCCCTGGAAGTTGCCTTCTGTTTGTTCCACCTTTCATCCTTGAATTCTAAAAAGTAAAGCACTACCAAGTGCTCAACATAACATTTTGACCTAGGTACTCCAAAACAGCTGAGATCAGTAGAGTGACCATGACATTGTTGTGTGACCATTGTGACAACTCTTTTGTTTGTCTAGCTCAAGCAAAGGTCTTTATCAATTGACACTGCAGTAAATTAGAAACCAGGATCCGTGTGTTTAGCACTTGAACTGCTAAAAGTTTTCATTTTCCTGAAAGAGTAGAGTTACAGGTTTGGGGAGATGATTTTCTATTCTATTTTCCTAAGAAGGGTGGGGGGAGACCCTTAAGTGTTGCTGTAGGAAAGTGTGACATGTCACTTCTTTTTTAATTAACCAACTTGTTATTTTCTATGCAATAGCATTCTTTTCTGAATAAAGCTTAAGTTTGTTGCCTCTTGAAGGCTAGGGGGCATTTTCACCACCACTAGTATAACTTTAATATCATTTACTTTATGTGGCATGAACTAGTATAAGCCCTGAAGGTAACAGTGGAAATATTTTAATTTACATTGAATGAATCTCTCAATAATGGGGGAATCACATTATACTTTGAAAGTAGGAAGTTTTGGAAAAATATTACAACTCTGTGTTTGTTTCATTAACATAATGCATAACTTCTCTTCCACACATACTCCAAAATATTATCTATATTTATTTTACCCAATCCCATTTCAGTCATCAGTTTTTACTTCTCTTTCCACTTCTAACCTGATAACCAAGGGCAAGGGTTTGACTCCATATTTCCCTCTGTGATTCTTCAGGTTATTGACTACACTATCAATAGAGTACTATTCATTTTCTGATAGCTTGAGAAGCAGAGTCATTTTCTGGTTCTATGCTACACTGGAATTTTTCCATGGCAATGTATAGCCTTAATTTTCTTGGACACACTAAGATTTTAATCAAGATGGTATTCAAATTGTTTCAATTTCTGTAGAGAGCAGACCTCAATCATTTCAATGCAACAAATGTAAGTTGGTGATTTAAATGCATGTTAAGGAAGCACATAACTAAAAGGAAAAAACAATAATGCAATGAGCCCTGTGTTGGAAATCTCAAAGCCTTGTTCTGCCATTTCCATGGACTACTATAATTCATCATCATCCACCTCACAGGGTTGTCAATAATAAACTGGATATATGAGAGTTTTAAAATACGCATGCCCTTTATTTTATTTATTTATTTATTTATTTTGTGGGACCCTCCCCGGTGGCCAGGGATCGCACTGGCGCTGCAGAGGCTGCTGGCAGCCTCGCAACCCAGCGCTCATCCCATGCGCCACCAGGGGGAGGCCCCGCATGCCCTTTATATACTTAAAAGGGGAGCTATATTTTAAGGACCTACTACATGCACAGAAAACCTGGTTCACTTATGACTTCAAATAAGCATTTCAGCCAAATGGAATCTCTATCTGTGGATTCTAGAACCAATCCTGACTACAGCATTTGTGCCTCAGAAGGTTCTGATTTCACTCGGGCTTAGTGCATAGGACTTGGCTGCTTTTGCTTGGGAGCTCCTCTAATGCAAATATTTATTTTGCTTGCTGGAAGCAAAGGTTTACAGTGCCAGGAATGTAACAAAAAGAGCTGGCCGCCCAGGTCTGCTGAGCAAAAAGGATCTGGGTGACATATAGAAATATACTCTCAATTGCATATAAGGCCTTTGGGGACCTGGGTTATTTATTGAACATTGTTCCAAATTAATAACCTCACATTCCCCAAGGCCATGTGATCCTGGCATACACTCTGCAAGGAAAGCAAATGAGAATGGAAGGAAAGGAGTGGGTGGGGGGAAAGTCTGCTGCAGCCCAGCATCTCAGCGGGAGCTGGGAATGCTCATTGAATACTGTAAGGACCAGTCCTGTCCTACTCATGGGTTTTATTGCTTCCCAGGACTTCTAACCTCAAACCCCTCTGATTCAGCAACTCCCTGTCTACCTCTCCCCTTTAAATAATACATTCTGATCTGTTTTTTCCTTTATCTGCTTAATCATGTGACCTTTCTCCTGCGAGGGCAGGTTTTCTCTTTATCTCTTCCATCCATGTCAGTTCGTAGCTAAGAGCTCAGGTTCAATAAAGCTGGACTCCCCTCTGGACAGAAGGGCAGACCTGAGGGTCAGCAGCAGAAGGAATTAGGCTCATCTCAAAGTCAGGTCACAGCTTGCTCTGAGTGTGGCTGTGCATGAGAATACACACCCTGCTTTCCCTCCATAAGGAAATCTGGTCATTTGATTTGTGCTGTTGTGAAAAAAAAAAGGATGCTACCTTAAATATCTGGGCCTCCAGCATTATAAATCTGAAAGTTGGGGTGCCCTGTTTTCCCTTATTTCTTTAACTGAAAGTGCTAATGAATTGAGCCCTGATGGAAGGTGCCTTTAGGATTTCAAAATGTTTGTTTTTATTTTCTTAAAGTATTAAACTTTGTCACCCTTTAGACTCCTCCCCAAACTGCCAAGTCCCTTATCTGCAGAATGTCCTGCATCATCTTTTGCCTTTGTGTCTCTGTTATTCCCCCTCTGAATGGAATTTGAAATATTGTTTCACATGAAAACCAAATCATCCCTCTTATTTTTTTTTTTTTGTTCTTTGGTGAGGGGTGTTGTTGGTAAATATAAATAGTATGGTTAAAAGAGCAAAGTATCCTTTCTCCGCACAATATCAAGAGAGAAAATAACACCTACCTGGGGCTTGACTATCAAGATCTGTGACAATAGTTTGTAAGGACGTCCTGTTTGTGTCCTGTGTCCTCTTTCTTTTCTCCTAGTACCTATAGGAAACCGTTTAGTGTGTGTGAGAGAGAAAGAGACAAAGACAGAGAGACAGAAACAGAGAGATTGACAGACCTAGGGGGAGTCATTGTCACATAGCAAATAAAACCAAACACTTAGCTATTAGAAATATCTGAATGAACAGATATATGAAAGCATAAATTAATAAATGAATGGGTCTTCATTGTGTGATAACTGCTCTCTAAGAAATTAACCCATAATTAATGAGGGCTCTACTTCTACTTCCAGTTGTCTATCTGAAGCATTCATTTTTATTAAATCTTCTGCCAGGTTAAAGCCATTAGAAGCCATCTGTAGAAGAAAATAGATGTGAGTTTCACAAATAGAGCCACCAATGTGAGCCACATATGTAATTTTAAAAAGTTTCTAGTAGTCACATTAAATAACTAAAACCAAAAACGGTGAAAAGTAATTTTAATGATGTATTAGATTTAACCCATCTACCCAAACTGTCTTTTCAATATGTAGTCAATATAAAATTGAGATATTTTACATTGTTTTACACTGAGTCTTCAAAATCTAGTGTACATTTTATACTTATTGCACATTTTAAGTCAGACTAGCCCCCCCCTTTCAAGCGCTCAAGAACTGGATATGAGTTGGCTGCTGTACTAGACAGCCAGGGCTAGCATCCACTGCTGTTTTTACAGTATTGATAAGGTCTTCTTACAGCTTATGTATTTCTGTGTTGTTACAGAAGAAAATAGAAACAGAACACTGCATGCAATATGAATGCTGCGGTGTTTCCCCCCAACACAGAGCCCTAGTACCAGGGGTTGCCCTGTATGGAAAGTACATTCTGTGATAAAATAGGTTAGGGAAATTCCAGTTTTTATTCCCTCTTGGAGATTTACATGGTGCAGGAACAAGCCACAGACTCACAAACCTCTCCTGGGTAAAGTCACCTGTTAGAGGTTGTTGAGTTCTGTCTCTTTAAGGTTCAATCTTCTGGTTATCACTGTTGCCTAGCTACCACTGTAAAAACACAGTCAGGCATGGTACATTTACTGTATGCTTATATTTGTTTTCTCTATAGAGGAGTTTTAACAACCCCTTCTCCAACCTCCCCTCCCAGAATATCCCTCCCAGTCCCATTAAAGATACCAGTACAATGATCATGTCCCAGAATATCCATCCTTACTAAATTATCTTGCCCTCACAAAGACCTGAAGTTATTCTTTACTACACTTTGGGACAAGAATTCTGGAAATTGCCACAAGTGTCTCTGCATAAGATAAACTTTGTTTCCTCCTCCACTATTTTCGGAGCCTATCTCTAAATATTCCTGATACTCAGAATCACCTGAGAGCCAAGATCTATCTTCCTGTTCTAGAACCACCTACTAAACTGAAACCAGCAGATGGCTTTAATGTCTTGAGTATGAACATAGACCTTCAGAAAGTACCCAAGAACACACCTTCCTCTCATTTTTTTCAGAAATTATGAGTACTTGCAAAAGATGAGAGGAGAAACATCTGAATTTGTATATGTGTAAACGCAGAATACATAGTTTGTTAACTAGAATAATATCATTTCTGCAGATGCTTACTTTTGATCTTGTGTGTGTGGCATTATTTACATGTTTTAATGCTCACTGTTCTTGTAAATGTATAAAGTAGCTGTGACTATATTTGACAGTTGTCAATCTTTAGCAAATGACCTTTTGTCTTTGTTTTAATGGCACCTCTGATACTGCCCCCCCACCAAGGCTTGTTTTATGATCTGTGCTTAAGTGGCAGTTACCAATAAAATACCTTCTGTCGCTGAATTTAGTCCAAGTTGACTGCAGTAATCCTCATATATGGATGTATTCAAATAAGGTTGATTTAAATGATCAGTTTTGTCTTTGTTTTGTAGGACTTTAGTATTTCAGCATTAGAGATGTCTTTGAGGACTGTAGCAGCTGTAGAATTTCCTTTGCCCTTGAAAATGCAAAGGATACCATTAGTTTTACCTAGACTCTCCAGGAGTAGGAATGGAGCATTCTAAGTGGAAAAGTTTGCCTTTACAATCTCTCTGGTAAAGAAGGGCTGCCCATTCTCTACAAAGGTAACAGCTTCCCCAACTTTTAACATCTGGGGGAGATCTACTTGGAAAGGAGGTCTGAATTTTAATCTCATGATTTAATGGCGCTAATTTTTTTTAATGGATTTTGTAGAATCCTGTTATTAGAGGAAACTTTGCAAAGCCATATACTGGGGAATTGTCAAGCACCACATGTTAGTTTCAGATTGTGCATTTCCCAAGTGAATAGAACTTACTTCACCAAAAAGATTTTTTGCACAATTGACAATACTTACAGAATTATGATTGTATCATTGGAGAAAAAGCTCCCCTTCTTACTGGTACATTTCACAAGCAGTAAACTAGTGTGATTCCTTAATTATTTTGGGAAATATAAAAATAATCTGTCAATAGAATATAACTGCTCATTCCTAATTAGATCTAGTAATAAATATAGTATTATTTAAAGTATTATTGAATTTTGAAGAGCTGCTCAATAAATTAGTAATATTAATAAAATTGTAATTTTTGCAATATATTTGCCTCAGCAAAAATGTAAAGTTAAAAATATAAAATTATAAAAAAACAATATGCCGGATAATAGATTAGTTATCATTCCTCTAAAAATTGTAGTAATTCCTATTAGCATTAAATACAACACAAGTTATCTGTTGTATGAAAGTAAATTTTTGAACGTCTTGCACAAACAATGAAAGCCTTCTTCAAAAACGCCTTTTTGCCAAAAACAGGTTTTCTGACCTCTTACTAATTATTATATTTCTTTTGGGGGTACTTTGAGGCACTTTCAAAGACATTATTTGTGGCATTTAGTTCTAAATTAGGAGCAGAACATTCTGTCAGATATTTAACCATATTACAAAGTGTTGGAGTACTGTATTTTATAACAAAACCAAATTCTCATGTATTCTGGTATGTTACATATTATACCAAAAACCACTTTCTGTAAGTCTCTTGTGTACATAATATTTAGGAAAATAATGGGTATTTCAGTTCTAGCAAGAAAGTATAGTGCAGTACATGAGTGACAGTACATTGATCTTTAGTAAAATCCATTTAAGTATTTGACAGGGAAACTAGCAATCATAAACTCGAATGTATATGTCATTCTCTAGAACAAATCGGCAAATGATAATGGCGCTAAATTTTTTTTAATGGATTTTGGTTGCTGGGCAAGTTAGCTGGGGTGCAGCTGAGTTGGATCAACTTTGAATGCTCCTCAGATGTTAGCTTTTGTTATTGGTTGTCCCTGGAGAGGGGTAGAGCTACAGTCAGTAGATATGGCCTCCCCTTCTCATGGCTGGAAGGGGTGTTTGCTCATAGCCACTGCAAGGTCAAATGAAACCAGGATTGAGTCAGAAGCTTAAAGAAGCACCTTACTGTTTTTAAAACTAACGTTTAAATGTTCTAAACACTGTGATCTTTCCAAATGTGTTTTCCGTATTAGTTTTGTACTGTAGAAAATAATTTGTCATATAGTGTTTAAAGTGATGTAATTTATTGGCTTATTGCCCACCCCCACATTTCTGTACAGTCTACTTACCAGTATAAAACCTGTGATAATCCTTTGCCTTAAAATAAAACCTAATGCTAAGTATTGCGTGTGTTCTAATTAATAATTCTAAGCTAATTTTTTTTCCTTTACAACTTAAGATCATGGCAAATAAAATATTACACAAATACTCTGGAGTGTTGGTGCCTATTCTGTATTTGTGACTGTGTGTGTTGATCCAGGACAGGGTGGCCTGCTGAGTTCTATAAATAGACATTAGTAATCCTTTTAGAGAATGGGCCTGGTCCCTGTCAGCTGTTGTCTGAATTCTCCTCTTAATCCTTATAAATAGATTTTCCCATGCCACACAAGAATGAAACAAAAACAACCCTTCATCTTCTCTCCCTCTACAATTTTTGTCGTGATTTTTACTGAATCTTCACATTCTATTTGTGTCGACAGTTTCCTAAATAAAAAATGCCAGAAATGCCTGAAGACGGTGGAATCACCTAGTTTCAGCGGGCAAAGAGATCATGTTATTAAAGCAGAAGGACCTGAGTTTTAGAGAGAGTTAGTGACTTGTTCAAACTCAGGAACAGAGGTGGGCTGAGCCCGCCTCGAAGTCCAGAAGGTTTGTCACAAGTTAAATAAGGGAAAGAGAAGTGTGTTAGTCCTGGCGCAGGCAAGCCGAGGTATGTGTTGGGCTGAAAACCTTTTCCTTATTAGGCCCTGGCCTTTGCCCTGACTGGGTTAGTCACAGTTACAGAGAAATAAATGGTGTAGGTAGTTTTTTTCTGAGAAAGGCGTTGGCTTTTAGAGGTTATCTCTGATGCTCTTTCACCACTGTAGGCAAGGCATCCGACCACTGTATTTGGAAGCCTAAGGGGCATGATTAGTTGGCCCAGAGAAAGGTCTTTCCTGGGTGCATGACAAAGTTGTCATTTGAAAAGCATCTCTGGTTGGCCTGTTTTTAAATGACCGGAAACGCCGGTCCTTGGAGAAGGAGACGTTTCCTAGGCCCCGTGGGCTAGAAAGGCGTTCTGCCCTAATTCTGAGCCCCATTGGCTGTAGCTTTTCAAAGAGACTTGACCAGTTTCCCACGCGAGCGTGGGCCAACGGGCTCTAGGACCCAGAGGCGGAGCGCGGGGCGAGCCCGACCGCAGTATCCTTCTGGATCACGCGCGAGCAGTCGCGGGACGGGACGCGGGTTCGCGGCCCGCCTGGGGACAGTCGCAGTTGAGACGCGCGGACCTTCTGGCGCGCGGGCGGCGCACGGTGCGCGTGGGCGTGTCCCAGCGGGCCGCGCGCCCCGCCCCTCCCCCGCTGGCTTGGCCACCCCGGGGCCTTGCTCCTGCTGCGGGGCCGATCGGCAGGGCCGGGTGCCCTCTGCGGGCGGTGCAGAGCGCAGGAGCCGTTGGGGCCCGGCATGCCGAGCGCCCCCTGGTAGCCGCCGCCGCGTCCGCCCCCGGTGCGCGCCGCTGACGGCGGAGATGAAATTCCCGTGCTCGGTTCTGGCGTCCGTGTTCCTGTTCGTGGCCGAGACGTCGGTGGCGCTGTACCTGAGCAGCACCTACCGCTCGGGCGGGGATGGCATGTGGCAGGCGCTGACGCTGCTCTTCTCGCTGCTGCCCTGCGCGCTCGTGCAGCTCACGCTGCTCTTCGTGCACCGCGACTTCAGCCGCGACCGACCGCTGGTGCTGCTGCTGCATCTGCTGCAGCTCGGGCCGCTCTTCAGGTGCGTGCGGGGCCCGGGCCCGGCGGCGAGGGCGGCCGGGAGGGACTGGGGGCTGCCCCGGGGGCGCTCCTTGCGCCCCTCAGCCCCGGGCAGGGCCTGGCGGCCGCGGGCGGCAAAGCGGGAATCGGGCTGCGGCCGAGGGACCATGGTCCTGCTCAGCCCCCGCGGCCAAGATCGCCCGGAGTCCATTGACCGCTCTCCAGCAGAAATGGCAATTCCGCGCGGTGCAACCTCACCCCAGGCGGGCGTCGCCTGCGGTCTAGTGGCTCCTGGCTGGATGGGCTCGTGTCCCCACACACCCTGGGGACGTGGGCTGGAAGGAGCCGTTACCGCAACAGCGTGCACGGAGGATTTCATTTCAGTGCCAGACGCGGAGCGTTGAGCGTGTGCCAGGCGCGGCTCTGAGCTCCACAGAGATTCATTTACTGCAGTTCGTGCTCTTAGGAACAGATGCACATGTGGGGCTTTTTTCTTGGGGTGGAATCCTGCGGGGTCGTGGGCATATCTCCCAGCCCTCCCTCACTTCCAGCTACTGGGCCTGGATCACAACGTGCCATGCAGACAAAAACTTGCCATGTGTTAAGAAAAGAAGCCCTCAGTGGCATTTCTGGGGGGGAAAATGTGTTAACCCAAAACACGTAGAAAGATACGGTCCTTGAGTACGTTTTGGTTTGTCTGAGGACCATGGGGAGAGGTTCAAAGTTTTTGTTTTGATAGCTTTCATCTCTGTAGGAAAAGCAAAACAAAGGACTTCTATGGATTCTAAATAAATTGTATAAGACTCAGCTGTAGACATAGGCATACAGGAAGAAATGCAAAGACCGATAGGCCCTGAGATGCACCTCAGCTAGCTGCCAGAAGATTCAACTAGCCAGGAGCCTTTCCCACCAGGAAATCTCTCACTCTCTCTTTCTCTTTTCATTCACACACACACACACACACACACACACACTAGTAAGTAGCAGGCTAGATTTACAAAGCCCTATTATAAAGCTTACTCCTATTAAAAACAGTGAATCCCAGTTGACACTCAGAATACTCACTTGCATTATACACAATGTTGGCAAACTTGGGGAACAGGTTTCTCAGCTAAGGAATCCTAAAAGGGAAGAGAAATAGGTACTCTGAGGGGACTAAAAAGTTGCTGCTGATGTCCAGATAAGAAGGGAAGAGTTAGGGGCAAAAACAGCAAGAAAGGGAATGAAGAAATAAAAAGTTCTGCAACCTGGAGCCATGCAGTGAGAACAGATTTAGCACTCCCTCACCAAGTAGGTCACAGGGTCCTGATTATACTCCCCTCACCATCCCAGCAAAATCACTGTGCTCTGCTTTAAGCAGGCACTCATTTGTTAACCTCATTCCTGAAAAGAAAACTCCCAAACTCCTTGCTCATGATGGCTAAGTGACAGGAAGGGGAATTGACATTTCTGAAATGTCTCCTATGCTTGATGCTTTACTAGGTGTTTATATGCTCTAGTTCAATGAATCTTGACCATGAAGGAGCTGTAACTGTCCCCATTTTAGAGATGAGGAAAATGAGGTCAAGTTCACAAGGTTTCTTAGAAGTGGAGTCTGGTTTCCTACTAGAAAGTAGGCAGGGGAGGGTGGAGTTCATTTTATCAATACTTCTGTCATCTTAAGAAAGTTTGACCATTTTGCCAAAATCTGTATAACCATCCAGGCAAATAACACTCTATCATTACTGCTATTGCAAATGTTTTAAAAGTTTTTATCTTTAAAAAGATAAAACTAATGACCTAATAATTATGTATAACAGGATGGCAAATATAAACCTGAGCTCAAGGAAATATGCCAAGATATTGAGCGTGATCATTTCTGGATGGCAGGGAAATGGGTAATTTAAATTTTATCCTGAGGAAAAATAGAACAGTGCATCATTTTCTCCTTTATTATATGCTTCTCTTCTTTTCTCAGTTTTTACAGTAGAAATATTTTTAACTATAAGAAAGAAAAGTTTGAAGCTTTGAAGAATAGCTTCTCAGCTATATGAAAAGTTTCAACACTGTAAGAAGAACAGTTTCTAGAATTTTTTATATAGGCCATTGTCTTAGGAGGGGGGCAAAATAAAACATAAAAAAAGCAACAAACAACCCCCTTCCTTCAACAAGGACTTTCTCTTACTAATTCAGCTGTCCTATTTCAAGGAGATACACAAAATGGTGGTTCCAAGCATTTTAGCTTCCACATGACAAGAAAAGCAATTTGATGTTGTGAGTTAGCATGACTTAATCTTATTGGAAGTTCTTCCTGCTGAGCACTTGATTCTTTAACTCTAAGCCTTATATAAGATCAACATTATTTCTGCCAAACAAAGAGGAGTCATGATGTGTTTCATTTCCTCCTTAGCAGTTGGAATTAGTAATATTTTGAAAAGGTTTTTGGAAAATTTAACTCTGTTTACATTTGGGCATGTGCTACTAGTCATACTCATTTTCTTTTAGGTGAGATGCAAGTTTTTGAGTTCTGTCACTTAAGCTGCAATAGAGGACACTGTAATGATTATGGGCTAGCCACTACAATTTTCTGTCCTTTGGTGGGGGGGCATCAGGAGAGTACCATATTTCATTTACATTAGTCTTATCTTTAAAACTGAAGTTGCAATCTGTCTGGTGGTTTTCTCGTTAGATTGGGTTTGAATGATATGAACATTAGATAATGTCTTGAATTTTTTTCTATTTTAGTGCGAATCCTATTGTGAATAATAATAGACATTCTAGAAAGCCAGAAAGAGAAAGAGCCCCTCTTAGCAAAAACAACATATCTGTTTATCATTCTTTTACTATTATGTAATTTTGCACCTTAGTTAGGAGAAAGACTACATATAAATGAGTTAAAAATTAAAGGTATTTTCCTCCATTTTTTCTACTAGTATAATGAGGAAAAGTGGTACATGAAAAATCTGTGTTTATAAAATGAAGGCTTAGAAGTTCCAGTAATTTTTATAGAACATTGCAAAATGATTAACCAAACTATTTTGAAAGTAAACTTTCAAAAGACTTTATAATAATAATGGCCTAGGGCCTCCCTGGTGCCTCAATGGGTTGAGCACTGCACTATGAAGCAGTCCACAGCCCATGCAGCACGAGTTCAATCCTTGGCCAGGGAGAGACCCACATGGCGCAGCAGACCTCTCCTGTCTCGCCCGCTGCTCCCTTCAGCAGTGTATTTCAGTCAATCTGCCTGTTCTGTTTCCCACTCCCTCTGGTGAATCCTCTTACCCCTTCCCCTGCATCTCTGGCCTGTACCCTAGCTCTTGTATGCATAATAAATAAATCTTAAAAAAAATAATAATGACCTAAATTTGAAGAGCCACCTTTCTTGGTTTGCAAAAAGTGCTTTTACATACAGTACTAATTTCCATCCACTGTAAAACCCTGTTAGCTAACTGTCATTATCTTTTTTTTACAGTTGAGGAATTGAGGCTCAGTGAGATTATGCAAGTGATTAGGCACAGGTCATGTGGCACTTTCTATTTAACCAATTTGGTTGTCCCCTAGCCTCACAGAGCACGTGTGTCAGAAGATAAAGTGGCATATAAGAAATCATAGCCAGTATTTCTTTTGAAAATGCCTTTTTATGAACTACCTTAGAGGGTTTCTGGTACCACAGGTTATTTGTGTCTGCACCAACATGCATGGTTTCAGCAAAAGAATAAGAGCAGGATAAAAGGGTGGAGAAAATGGATCAACCTGCTTGTTCACCTACATTCGGGGTCAGCAAACTATGCCCCACAGGTCAAATCCCCCCACTGCCTGTTTTTGTAAATTGTTTTATTGGAACACAGCCATGCTAACTCGTTTCTGTTTTGTCTGTGACTGCTTTTGCACTCCAGCAAGAGTTGCGTATTTGCAATAGAGACCATGACGTGCAAAGCCTAAAATATTTACTCTTTGTAAATACTTTACAGAAAATATTTGCCAACCTTTCATCTACATAAGTACAAAACTTCCTTGAATGATTTTGATGAAAATATTTAATATACAATATATTTAGACAACCTCTCAAGCAAAAACCAAAACCAGGTCAAACCAACCCCCCCCCCAAAAAAAAAAAAAAAAACACCAAAAACCAGATTTGGAGTAATTGGATAAATTTTGTAGAATGGTTAGAAAAATAAATGGTAGTGCTTTTTTTAAAAAAAAAACAAGTTTTCTTAACTAGTAATGGCAGGATATCTTGGGGCCTTTCATAAATTTATTCAGCACTTACTATGTATAAAATTCTGTAACTCATAAATGTATGAATTAGGGAAAGATAGTGGATTCCACAGGGCCTCCTCTGTAATTCGCTCATTCTGGGACCCTCTTATTTCCATTGAGAGATGCTGAAATTTGGTAAATGCTTCTGGTTTCATATAAGCCCCTCCACAGAACTGATTTCCCTCTGAACTTTCATTTTATTGACTCAGCATTTAGCATGTGCTGGTGTTTTGTTGTTGTCTTTAAAAACTTTAAGCTTGATTTTATTCAAGCAACATTTTTTGTTATTTTCTCACATATTTGAGAAAACAGATAAGCACATTTAAGGAAATAGTCAAAAGCCTATAATTTGACTGCCTAAAGAGAACAATTCTCAACATTTTGTTGTATATCCTAACATTTTTATAGGTAAACTGTCTCTCCAAGGAAAAGAAGCCCGATTTGCACTATTTGCTGATTTCTGTAATATAAATATTTCCATCATGGCCTATTTCAAGCTACTCGTTATTTAACAACTAGCTTACACAATGCCTAATTACTTAGCAGTCTCTTGAGTCGGTATGAACCAGCGCAAGCACTCCACTGTTTACGTGTGTATGTGATTTGTATACATTTTATTTTTACAAAAATAAAATTTTATGTGTGCGTGTGTGTGTATATATATATATATATATATATGCACATATATTTCAATGTTACTTACTCCCTTCATTTACCAAGTATGGTAAACATTTTTATGTATCAGTAGTATACCATAAGTTTTAAGGATTGGATATTTCACTGTTTTTTTTTAATCATTGTTTTATTTGGGGACCTTTCAAGTATTCCCAGAATTTTGTTACTACAAATAATGGTATGATTTAAATTCTTGCAGTAGAAATTCTTTATGAGTTCATATTTAAGAAATATTTTATAAACTGAAGGTGCTCTATAAATATTAGTTTGTTATTTATTATCCTTATTATGTATATGTCCCATTTTTTCCATTTAGATTGTGAGCACCTCCAAATAAGGTGGATGATCAGCTGTCTTTGCATTCCCCACAGCACTTATAAAGTTATGTGTAAATTACTACATTATGTAGGAATGTAGCAAAGTGTGTCGGCATTCATCACATATTTGAAAATAAAGCAATAGTCAGTTTATTCTGTTTTCAAACCCTTGTTGTGGTCAGTGGTCTCACTGTGTGATGTTGTTAGAACTTTACAGTCCTCAATCATAGAGTCAAGTTTTTCCTCAGAGCAAATTCAGTTGGATCAGCTGGGCATGAACTTATAACCTAAACTTCATTAACTTCATTATTTTCAACTGAGCAATTGGTCCAGACTGTTCTACATATTTTCATACAACATATAAATATATGCATGTTTCCCTAGTAAAACATAGCAGACAAACCCGTCACACACACACATAGTCACAGCTATGTACTTTCTTTCTCCCAGGAACAAAGGTTATAGTCACAAAATATGTCCATTTTTTATTCACCGGAGAGACTCCTACATTTCCTCTCTTGCATCAAGTCTTATTATTTCAAATTATAAATATATTCACTGCCATAGTTGCCTCAGGGTGCAAGTACAAAGTGAACATTCAATAGAATAAATGAAGCCATAAAATCTCCAGGCAGCACTATAAGGCTGTTATTAAAATGCATGTTTGAGACCAAATAAGACATCAGTGTAAAGAAAAAATAATAACAGTACAAAACTCAACAAAGCAAAAACAGACAATTACAAATCAGAGGCATCCTGCAGGGGAGGAGGAGGGAGAGGGATCAGAGGGAGGGAGAGAGGAGCACAGGGGACTGTGGTGATGGTGCACAGGTGCCTTGGGGAAGGAAATTCCATGGGGACTCAACCTGAGGGGGTGTGGGGAAGCAAATATTGTTTAAAAAAATAAAAAATTATATAAAAGTGCATGTTTGGGGGAAAATGTCTTTTAACAATTTTGAAACCTAAGGCCACAAACCTCTTATTCCTAGGAATGACCTGTTTTCCTCAGCATCTTATGAAAATTTTCAAACATACATAAGATAACTTGAATGAATTGTACAGTGACCACCCAAGTACATGCCATCTAGATTCTATAATTATATTTTATTTCACACATTTATCCATCCCTCTATTGATCCATTAATCCGTTTGTGTGTGTGCTTCAAAGAAAATTGCACATATTAGTATTCTCCCTCCCTTCAGTACCCATATCATTACCTAGAGATGAAAATCCAATTTAAAAAGGCCTAGAAAGGTAACTGGTTAAAGCACCTTCCCTGGCTTGAAATTCCATAAAAAAAGACATGTCTGGCAGGTTTGCGGGCATGATTGACTTTAATCATATACTACATGGCTTAAGAGAACAGAGAGATAGATAACATTGAAGCCTTCCAGAGGAATGCGAGGTAATAAGATATTTTGCAGGGGGATCTCCCAACCGTGGTTGATGCTTCAATAATGATTTGTGGCATCTATTGAATGTGGAATAAATATATCGTTATTAAATACATTGTAAGTCTATATATTTTTAAGTATTAATATATGTACAGCTATAATGTATACACCCTAGACAAACATACTATATTAGCTTCATAACAATGGGGCAAAATAGGTATCATCACTACTTTATAATTGAGGGAAAAGATTCAGGGGATAAATGACTTGCCCAGTACTACACAGTTAATAAGTATCAGGAAGGGGAACTGAACACATTTCTGTGGCTTTGAAACTTGAGGCTCTTTCCATTCTCTACTTGGTTTCCTTGCCTCAATGGCGTTTGGTGTCACCTCTCAATTTGCTTCTCACTCAGTTTCCACTGGCCTGTTGGGGGTCCGCAAAAGGACTTCGTGTTCAGAAAAGCTCCTTGGAGTGGGTAATTTTAGAGAGGGTATAGTCCAGAGTTGCCAGTTAAAGTTTTGAGAATTAGGCTAAGTACAAGCAGAGAAAAGTAACTGAGAAAGGACAGTATCTTGTCAGCCTCTGACTATCATGACTTGCTGATTTATTTCCAGGTGTTTTGAAGTCTTCTGCATCTACTTTCAGTCAGGCAGCAGCGAAGAGCCTTATGTCAGTATCACCAAGAGGCGTCAAATACCCAAAAATGGCCTCTCAGAGGAGGTTGAGAAGGAGGTGGGCCAGGCAGAGGGCAAGCTGTTTGCCCATCGATCTGCATTCAGTCGAGCATCAGTGATCCAGGCTTTCCTGGGCTCAGCCCCCCAGCTGACCCTGCAGCTGTATATAAGCGTCTTGCAGCAGGATGTCACCATCGGAAGATGTATGTATATTTTCATTTCTACTGGCATATGGGGATCAAAAAGGGAAGCAAAATATAAAGTTTATTTTGTTTTAGATGTAATTCATTCACATGTGCATTCAGTCCTGAGTCTGTGGTCCATAGTGCTTACTGAATGTAGTGGCACCCTTGTTCTCTAAGATTTGTAACTGGAATGGACATTGACCATTGTGAGTCCTCTGTGTGCCCCTATACCCTTTTCTCAGTTTATTGTTTTTCCAGGCGGCAGGGACACAGTGAGAGATCATAGCTGGTGATGACCTATTTGATTTTTACTTGTAGATCCAATGTTTTTTATTCTCAGGTTTTTAATTGTTCAGAATATGGCAAATGATAGCCCATGGACCCAATCAGGCACTGCTTGTAATTGAAATACAACCATGGCCTTTCATTTATTGTCTGTCTGCTTTTGTGATACAATAGCAGAGTTGAGTAGCTGCCACAGAGAGCATGTGATCCACAAAGCCTAAAATCTTTACTATCTGACTCTTTGCTGCAAAAGTTTGCCAACCCTCATTATAGATTTTCAAACAGAATTCCGTTCAGGAAAATAAACCTATCTCATAAAGTGTTATTGTGACAAGTAATATCTGTGAGGCCCCCACCCTCCCAGGAATCTGGAAGTATAGGCCCTCTGAGATTCAAACAATCAATCAAGTGTATACACACACACACACACACACACACACACACACACACACACTTATAAAGAAGAGGGCATGGCCCACTTAAAAATAAAGATGACTGTTTTTTTTTTCAAGTGAAACATTATATAAAGGAATAAAATTATAACTGGTCTAGCAGAAGCAGAAGTGAGAAGCTGAGTGGGCAGACCCCTGGTGCATGTAAGGATCCCAGAACTCCATAGAATATAGTTTGAAAACCTTTGAACTAGAATTCTCTAAGACTTTGAATTCTCTAAGAACCCTGTAGTACTAATAATACATGTATTATTAGTACTACAGGGTTCTTAGAGAATAATTAGTGAATAATTAGTGAATAATAATTAGTGAATAATTAGTGAATAATTCACACTGAATTACATTTCTTTATTTTTTTTAAATTTTTTTTAATAGAGGCATGTTATTTATTAATTAATTAATTTGTTTGTTTATTTGTTTTGTTTATACATGCACTGGGTACAGTCAGAAGCACGGGAGGGTGAGAGAATTCACCAGAGCCAGAGCGGGGAGCAGAGCAGGCAGAAGGACCGAAGTACACTGCTGAGGGGAGCAGCGGGCGGCAGGAGAGGTCTGTGCGCCATGTGGGACCCTCCTCTGGTGGCCGGGGAGCAGCCGGGGATCGAACCGGGGCCGCAGAGGCTGCGGGCAGCTTCGCAACCCAGCATTCAACCGCTGCGCCACCGGGGAGGCCCTGAATTACATTTCTTTAAATAAATGGATTGCTTCTATTTTCAAGGAAGAAGTACCTGAGGAGGTTCTCTTTATGCTTGTGCTTCTGTTAGACCAGTTATAATTTTATTCCTTTATATAATGTTTCACTTGAAAAAAAAAAAGAATTCTGCTACTTAAAATCATCAGTCACTGTACACCTTCATTTTACCAATAAAAATTATAGGCTCCCATGATGTAAATCCTTGACCATGAAGATGCTGTTTGGCCTCACTGTCTTCTCTACTCAAGTGTGACTCTTCACAAAATTAAGGAAACTGATCTTACTTGAGAGTGTTTATAGTTTTAAGGCTCTGTTGAAGTTTTAAGTCTCTGTTGAAAATAATTGAGTGAATGTTCCAAGCTTAGATCTAGTGTACAGGGGACAAATATTAGTTGTTTCAGAAAAAAGAAATACTTGGCTTCTTTGATAAATTTGATAATTCAAGTAAGTTTGAAAAGAAAAATTGAAAGAGAGAGAGAGGGAGAAATAGGGAAAGAACTTTTTGTTTTGAGCAATATGGCTACATTTGGGGCTGATGACCACAAACCTATTTTTCCATCAAGCCATTAAAATATGCAAGTTTGCTTTTTACCTAATACCATGTGGAAAATAAACATTTGATAATAATTGTTTTTAAAAATAAAGACGACTGCCATTTACAAAGGTCTTGATTAATCCTAGTTCTGCTTCAACATGTCTGAGAAAGGATTCCCTCCCCTAGAAGGGTTAAGGTAATTATAAATGGACTATAGGCTAGGATGTGTCACAAGATGGTGAATTTTATAAATGTTGTGCGTATTCTGACTGCTCCACCATCCAGCTGTTCCGCATTCTCTCGCCTCCTTGGCACCCCCATTCCCTGAGATACAATAATACTGAAATTACTCCACTTAATAACCCTACAATGGCATTTTAGTGTTTCAGTGAAAGGGAGAGTCACATGTCTCTTTAAATCAAAAACTAAATATGATTAAGCCATATGATTATGGGGAGCGCATGTTGAACGCCAAGATAGATCAAAAGCTGGGCCTCTTGTGACAAGCAGTTAATCAAGTTATGAATGCCAAGGAAAAGTTCTGGAGGGAAATTCAAAGTGCTATTGCAGTGAACACATGAAAGATAAGAAAGTGAAACAGCCCTGTTGATATGGAGAAAGTTTTAGTGGTGTGAAGAGAAGATGCAGCCTACCACAGCATTCCCTTAAGCCTAATCCAGGCAAGGTCCCAATGCTCTTCAATTGTATGAAAACTGAGAGAGGCAAGGAAGCTGCACAAGAAAATTTTGAAGCCAGCTGAAGATGGTTCATGAAGCTTAAGGAAATAAGTTATCTCCATAGCAATAAAATTGCAAGGTGAAAAAGCAAGTGCTGATGGAGAAGCTGCAGCAAGTTATCCAGAAGATCTAGCTAAGATTATCAATAAAGTGGTTACACTAAACAGATTTTCAGTGCAGATGAAACAGCCTTATATTGGAAGAAGGTGCCCTCCAGGGCTTACATAGGTAGAGAGAAGTCCATGCCTGGCTTCAAAAGTTCAAATTACAAACTGACTTTCCTGTTAGGGGCTAATGAAGCTGGTTACTTGAAGTTGAAGCCAGTACTCATTTATCATTCTGAAAATCCTAGGACACTTAAGAATTATGCTAAATCTACTCTGCCTGTGCTCTATAAATGGAACAACAGAGCCTGGATGACAGCACATGTCTTTCCAAAATGGTTTACTGACTATTTTAAGCCCTCTGGTGAGAACCTACTGCTCAGAAAAAAAGACTTTTTCCAAAATATGACTGCTTATTGACAATATACAGGGTTACCCAAGAGCTCTAATGGACATGTACAAGATATATGTTGTTTTCATGCCTGCTAACACATCATCATTCTGCAGCTCATGGGTAAAAGAGTCATTTAAATTTTCATGTTTTTTTATTGAATAAATACATTTCATAAGGCTATAACTACCATAGACAGTGATTCATCTGATAGGCACACGCAAAGTAAATTGCAAACCTTCTCAAAAGGATTCACCATTCTAGATACCATCAAGAACACTTGTGATGCGTGGGAAGAGGTCAAAATGTCAACATTAACACAAGTTTGGAAGAAGTTGATTCCATACCTCCTGAATGACTTTGAATTCAAAACTTTAGGGGAGGAAATAACTACAGATATGATAAAAATAGCAAAAGAACTACAATTAGAAGTGGAGCCTGAAGATGGGACTCAATTTCCTGTGATCTCATGATAAAACTTGAATGGATAAGAAGTTATTGCTGACAATGAACAAAGAAAGTAGTTTCTTGAGATGGAATGTACTTCTGGTGAAGATGTTGTGAACACTGTTGAAATGACAAGAGATTTAGAATATTACATAAATTCAGTTTAACAAGCCGTGACTGGGTTTGAGAGGATTGACTCCAATTTTGAAAGAAGTTCTACTATATATGAAATACTCTCAAACAGCAGTGCATACTACACAGAAGTCATTCATGAAGTGAAGAGTCAGTTGCAGCAAGCTTCATTGTTGTCATATTTGAAGAAATTTCCATAGCCACCCCAGCCTTCAGCATCCACTGCTCTGATCAGTCAGCAACCATCATCATCAAGGCTAGACCCTCCACCAGCAAAACGATTAGGATTCACTGAAGGTTCAGATGATAGTTTGAAGTTTTAACAATAAATTATTATTTTTAATTAAGATATGTGCTTTTTTTTTACCTATGATGTTATTGCACACCTGATAGACTACAGTACCGTGTAAAACATAACTTGTATGTGTTGGAAAACCAAAAAATTCATTGTGACTCATTTCATTGTGATATTCACTTTATTGTAATGGTCTGGAACCAAACCTGCGATATCCCCACGGTGTTCCTATATTTCTTTTTTTTTTTTTTAAATCAGGGGACTCCAAATGATTGTTATCATTATCAAAGTTTGGGAACACTAGATTAGACTAATCTTCACTAGCCGAGGGGTGGGCCCCTTTCCACCCAGAACAAAATTGTATTTTCCTAAGATATAAGAGCAGGAAGGAATTTTGAGTAGACAGCTAACAGTATCTTTCATACCATGTAAGGGAAGTTGAGACCAATAGAAGTTAGATGTTATTGACAGGAAGACATCAAGTCCATTCAAAAATTAAAGTCTATAACCATCTTCCCTCTGCTTCTGTGCTCACTGAGCAGACATTGATGAATTTGGCCCTGGGAGAGATTGGCCTTGGAGAGAGAAGGCGGAGCCAGCAATGTGGTCCACTGGAGAGGTTTTTTTTTAATTGAAATATAATTCATATAACATAAAACACTATTTGTAAGTGTAAGTGTACAATTCAGTGGACTTTAGGATAGTCACAGTGATACAATTATCACCACTATCTAATTTTAGAACATTTTTATTACATCAAAAAGATATTTCATACTTGCTAGCAGTCACTTCTCATTTCCCCTCCTCCAGCCTCTGACAATCACTAGTCTGCTCTCTGTCTCTATTGATTTGCCCGCTGTACATATTTAATATAAATGGAACCATACACTGTTGCAGAGTTTTATTGCTCGTAGTCAGTGAATAATGGACTCTGTCTCTGAGCTTA